CGTAAAAAGTCTAACCAGGCTAATTGTCCCATCATTTTTAAATTCAGTAATTCCCTTGATGCTAGTAAGTTTACTAAATGTCAGGATCACTTAAGACTGGATAGCAGTTATAAGTCTATAACCGTAGCTCAGGATAAAACACCGTGTCAGCGCAGAATAATGCGTAGTAATAACCTGGTCACCTCCTCTAGCTTAGATTTACCAAAAAAGGATCGTGCACAGCAACAGACACCTAGTGCTGAAACTAGCATTCAGCAAACTACACAACAAACATGCTTGCCAATGGAACTAGGAACTGATTTAGATACCAGTACCCCTGTAAATAAAGCCTCATCGAAAGATGTTAAAATAGCTAGAACTTCTGCAAGTTGTTCTAAGAAATTTCCCTCCAAACGTAGTAACCTCACCACGATGAACAAATTTCGCAGGGTTGAGACTAATGATGGGGAAGAATACTTTGTATTCAATAAGCCTGCTGAGAGTAAGAATGTTAACAAACCATCACTTGTTACGAAAAACTCCTCTCGAAACATAAGTATGTCTGGAGGTTTTCCGCATGCTCCACCTTATAGAAAGTCAGGCTCCAAGACTCCTAAAGTCTTGCAGCCAAAGCACCTTCCCTCACAATTCCCTTTAAGTTATAAAAACAACGCGAAGGTGTGTACCGGTATGACGAATAGCAGTTGGATGGGTAGACCTTTTGATGCTATGCCTTTTAACCGTCAACCTAGGCCCAACCCCTACTACCCTTATATCCAGGAACACATGGTAAATTTTCCAGGTGTCCCGAATCACTGGTACGACCCATGGCACCTAGGACCACCTCATTGCACACCAACCCCGATGTACTGACACCCAGTCCGACCTCCCTTTCATTCATAAACTCTTGCGGTGCTGACGAACAAATAGATTTAGGTTATGGTGACATTTTAAGCCAGTTTGTAGTATCCCGTGACTTATTCACGATATTGCTAATTAATGCACGTTCCTTAATCAATAAGATATCTGAACTAAGGACATTATTATTAGTCGCCAAGCCTACTGTAGCTCTGATTACTGAGTCATGGTGCTCATCCTCTGTACTTGATGTGCATATAGGTATCGATGATTACACTGTACACCGTGCAAACAGAGATTGCAAGCGTGGTGGAGGATGTCTCATATATATACATAGCTCATTTGTAGTCAGTAAGGTGGAAGATGAAATAATGAATAATGTACCTGACTCACTCTGGGTTGTCTTACATGGGGATAAGTACAAACTTCTCATAGGCTGTGTTTATCGAGCACCAAGCTCAACAAAAGAAACTGATGCGTTATTAGCTAAATCGTTTGCACACGCATCCTCGTTTAGTGCTAATTACAAAATAATTGCAGGGGACTTCAATCTTCCAGAAGTCAATTGGCTAACTAGTTCCGGCCCCCAACGCTTCGACGAATTACTTGCCACTATCGACTGTTATGGATGGCAACAACACGTCCAGACACCTACTCGTGGTGACAACATGTTGGACCTTGTTTTTTGTCATGACACAATCCCAGTATCCACGTATGTTGGTAATAGATTTTCCAGTAGTGACCATAGAATGGTACTCTGCTCTCTGCCTTTCTCACCACTAAATACAGGAAACAAACAAGATTCAGGAAGCACAATATGTCGTAGTTACAAATATACAGACTGGGGATTAGTCCAAGAACTTATTCGACTCTGTCAATGGGATGACTATTTTACCACTGACTCCCTGGAGGCCGTAGTAACCCTGTTTTACAGAAATGTTACCCTTTGTCTAGATACAGTTGCTCCAAAGAAAATAGTGAAATTAAGTAGACACCGAGCTGAATATATTCCAAGGGCACACCGTATTAAGTTAAGGAAGCTGAAGAAACAGTACTATTCCATTAAGGATGTATCACTACTGCTCTCAATCCACGAGTCTCTTGAATCTATCAAGCGCCTACGCTCTCAAAAGGACCTCGACGAAGAGTTAACGGCACTTGAAAGTACCTCCAAAGTTTATAACTTAACGGCACTTCTTAAAAAGCGAATGCAGTCGGCGAGGGAAATCCCCTACTTACTTCACGACAAAGTAATCTACAATGAGCCTGCCACTATCTGTGAACTTTCAGTGATTGGTTTGCAAACTTTAGTTTAGAAACACATATGCCTGGTGAAACCGCCCCCTTACTATCTCTTCCCTTGAAAGCATTGTGTTCACTAATCAACTAATAGTACAAGCAATTAAAAGCCTTAAACCTTCCACTAGTACGGAACTGGATGGCCTAGCTTCGATAATTTTCAAAAACAGTGGGTGTGATATACCCCTGTTACTTCTTAAATTCTTCTCAATATCTATGGAGACTGGCACTTACCCTAGTGAGTGGAAAACTAGCTTCATAATTCCACACTACAAATCCGGTGATAAGGCAAACGTCCGCAATTACAGACCCATAAATATAACCCCAGTTATCTCACGAATCATGGAGAAAGTTGTAAAAGATCAATTGTCAGACTACCTAATTAGGGAAGATCTTGTTACAAGGTCTCGACACGGATTTCTCAAAAATAGATCCTGCGTTACTTGCCACTTCGACTTTTTCAACTGCATCACTAGTAGTCGCGAAGCACGTAAGCTAGTCGTTGTTCTCTACTTCGATATATCTAGGGCATTTGACATGGTATCTCACAGTATTCTCTTTGAGAAGCTGTACTCTTGTGGAATTCGCAGTCCATTACTGAACTGGTTAAAATCATTTCTAAGCAACAGGGTACAAATAACCAAAGTTGGATCTGTATTGTCTCACCCTAGGCAGATCTCAAGTGGGGTCGTGCAAGGTAGTGTCCTAGGTCCACTTTTATTCACAGTTTACATTAACAGCATTTGCAAGTGCTTCACCTCAGGTAAACCATTCCTATATGCTGACGACCTCAAAGTCGTCTACTCCTGCTACACTCATGAATTAAGCGATATGGTTACTAAAATACATCTTGAACTAAGTAGTCTCGCAACATGGTGTGCTGAATCCTGTCTAAACTTTAACATTGACAAATGCGGCTGGATTTGTATCGGCAACAGTAACCTTGATCTAACTCTTGAAATAAATGTGCGAAAACTAGCTAAGCTCAACTCAGTCGTAGATCTCGGTATTAGATACTCTAGTAACCTAACGTTCGCTGAACAGACCGATTATGCCAGACGTAAAACACGAAGGCTGATAGGATGCATAACACGCAATTTCTTTTGTTGTGAAACTAGGGTTTTATTATACAAAGTATGTGTCTGACCTATTGTCAATGGAGTTGAAGATTGAACGATCAATTCATGGTTGTTTGCTCAAAATCAACTTCCCCAATTTTCGCGGAAGCATCAATACGATAGTCATCGTCTCATCGGTCGCTAATCAAAAAGAAGAGTAAAACATCGTCAGAAGCAATATTGTGATTTATTATTGTAATATTTGTTCACAGACCTTAGTTCAATTATTATTTTTATATATTGGTGTTACAATAAAGAATTCCAAAGCGGCCAATCGGTGATTTGGATTTTTCGTCCGTTATAACTAAGCGTTTCTGAAAACTTCAAGGAACAGCGTGGGCCCGAGCGTAGCAAGAGCTGGGCATTAACGGTTTACGAGACGTGACTGACAGTTTCTGACGGTAGAAACAGACTCTGGCGGATTCAGACAGTTGGTGAAAGTTTAGATAGTCACCGTTCATCTTTCCTGGTGCCGGTCAAGTCCTCTTTGAACAAGCAATATCTGGAACTGTTTTGGAATTGGGTCAAGTTCAACAATGCCTGGGTCAAAGAAGGGACAGAGTGTCTTGGATGCAAACAGGAAAGTAAGTCATGGTGACTTGTCTGTTACTTGTAATGATGTGTCTGATGTTAAGCATGACATGGTTGATGTTACTGTTTCGCCGTTCAGGGATAATAGGAACATCAAACTCCCTAAATTTGAACCACGGTGTTTCGATGGAAACCCGGCCGATTATTTACAATTTGTAAAGGAGTTTGAGATCATGCTGAGTGGTTTTTAATTAACTGATGAAATGAAATTGATGTATTTGATGAGGTATTGCACTGGAGATGCTTCAAGAGCTATACAGTGCTGTAAGTTTATGAAGCCAAAATAGGGCTACGCTTAGGCTATGAGCATATTAGGTCAAAGGTTGGGAAGGCCTTCGATGATTGCAGGAAAATTATTCGAGGCTGTTAAGGGTAATGGTGGTCTATTACAGGATGACTCTCAGGCACTCACTGAGTTTTTAGATAATTTGCTAATTTACAAGAATGGAATGATTTCGATGAATTGCATGAATGACCTCAACTCGTGTTTTATACTAGAAGTAATAGCGAGACGCCTACCTACTCGACTGCAAAGGAAGTGGGTGAAGATAAGCTCCCGTATGGAGGATGAGGGTATCGAGCCAAAATTTGATGATATCCTGAAACTGGTAAATACTAGTGTCAATCAATCTATGAGCAAGTTCGCCAGTCTATTATATCTCAGCCCTAGAATAGAGCAGTCTGAGTGCAAAATGCAATCTTTGTTGACGAATAGGCAACAGAGACGTGGATATCGAGAAGGCTCCATGATGTCTAGTAATGCATATAAACTTAGTGAGTGGAAAATGTTCGAAGTACATCCTCAACAGATAAGTAACAAGATGCAAGACAAACACGGTTGTGTTTTACACGTTTGCAAGAGGTGCATACAGAAGTGAACTGTGAATCAGTGAGCAAGTTCAGTGATAAGCTAAATGTGAACTCCAGGCCTGACTCCAAAATATGTGACGATAAATGTTTGCAAAGTATTACTAGTCAGAGTGAAGTTATAAAACCCTCAATGATTTGTGAGGAGGAACCAAAATTGTCTACTTCTGTTATTAAAGAGTTTGAAAATGATGAAGTTGACGGTAAAGTGAATATTCGTGAAAATGATCATGATACTTCACAGTTGTCTTTGGTTGATCATGATGAGATGAGGGATATGCCTACTACATAATCGCCCGGTACGTTCAAATCAGGTGACGCTTTTGCACGTGTTTTCGCTTATATTCATTTATTGGTTACTAATAATTGATCTTTAATAACGATGGTTCAAAATTCTAAAAAGCGTGTTCGTGTGAACACCAGTAACTTAGAAAATAGCACCGGCTCGTCTAATAACACATTACCACCCCATATTATTAGTAGTTCACCCAACATAAAAGCCTCGAACATAACTCTGACCCCTGTAATACAGGTGGAAGATGTTCTGTCTGAAAAAGTAGAGCTCTCTTACTTAACGTGCGTAATTAAAGAGATGCAGCTACAGATAGATGAATTAAAAACGAAATTAAGTTCCCTAGAATGTATACCTGAAACTATCTCACGTATGAAAAAAGAAATGCAGGATCCTACAATCCTAAAGCTTTTTAATATGACCTCTAGAATGACTCATACTGACTCAGAAAATGCGAAGGAGTTAGAAAACGCCATCGACTTTCTATCCAGCGAAGTTGTTAAAAGGCTGGCTTCAAAACAAAACGCAATAGTATATAATGTACCGGATAGTGAGCCCATAAAGTCAGTCCAGCACTCATTGCTGAAGGCTGCAAATCTATTGAATGCACCTTGTCAGTGCATTCGCCTAAGCAAAAAAGACCTGAAGTATCCTTGTCCTATACTCTTTAGGTTCGACAGCTACATAACAGCTGAACGATTTAAGATGGCCGAAGATCTTCTGGCTACTGCCACTAAATTCAAGACTATCAAAGTAGTCTCGGATAAAACACCAAACCAAAGGCAAGCAACCAAGAACTCCTTCGACACAAAGTTGACAACACTGAGAAATACATCTGGTATCAGTGCTAAAGTGTCGACGGACACTGAGGCACAGCAAGTCACGTGTATAGTGTTAGGAGAAAAAACGGCAAGTAAGAGCGACCCAAAACTCAGTAAGAGCAGTGCCACTGGGTGCAGTCTTAGAGTGCACGAGAGCACATCTCGAAAACCTGCTGACCTACATGAGGTTGACATAGACGCACAAACTATGGCTGACCAGAAACTACTGGCAGACCACACTCAATCTGGATCCAAGCCAGAGAGTCCCTCAGTAGAAACCGCAAAAAAGACCACAAAACCCAGAGTCCCACCCCAGACTTCGACATACCTCCCTCGTAATAAGTCAAATAAGCAGCGTGTCAGTCTAAAAAATGACAAAGCATGGGTAACGAAGCACATTCCCAAAGACGTCACGCAGCATATGAGAAGGAATACCCCTTCCCGGACTAGAAGTAACATGCCTAACAACGCACATAACTTGGGAATGCAACGTAGAATGGATCCTCGGGATACATGGGGCACTAAACGGGACTCATATAGGCACCATATTAACGAAAATTCTCGTCCAGACTCCCGCACTATATATGTTAGACCTCATCAACATAATGAGAACAGGTCGACACTTGATCCCCTCAATAACTTCACTCACGCACGTGACGTGAGCCAATATGCATACGGCTATGAAAGCCCCATGAGGTACAACTACCAGGGTAGTCTTAACACAGGGTACCCAGGTCCAGCAAACTACAACCCAAATTGCAGGGCAGACCATATATCACCAGTAGATGAACGCAGATGCCGACCCATGGATGCTAATAGTCAAAATATGCAACAGGATTATTTTCGGCTGCAGCAAGCAATAGCCCCCCTCGCAGCACAATTTGTCCAGGGAATAGTAAACACGCTGACAATGTCTCATATGAGGATTCCTCCGAACATAACATAGGCAACCAGGAGTTAGGGATAGTAACAAGAAAACCTACTAACTATCCCAACAACCCTGGTTTTCTGAAAATTATGCTTTTAAATGCTCGATCTCTCCTTAACAAAATAACTTCCCTTCGCAGCTTGGTATACATGGAGCGGCCAACACTGATTCTGGTAACTGAAACTTGGCTTACTATTGATATACCTGACACAAAGCTGATAATCGATAACTATAACATCCACAGGAATGACAGAGCAGACAAGAGAGGAGGCGGCTGTCTAATATATGCCTCTAAATCCACTAACTCCAATACCTTTACAAACCTAACTATCGACAAACTCCCAGAATCCAAGTGGATAAGCATCCACACGAATGAAAATAACATTCTTGTGGGATGTATATACAGAGCCCCTAACAGCCCTATAACGACTGATACGGTTATCGGAGAAATACTAGAGGTTGTACCTAAGCTGGAATTCGACTACAAACTAGTTTGTGGCGATTTCAACCTCCCTGGAGTGAACTGGGATACCTGCACTGGACCGAGAACCTACGAGGTGATCCTAGAAGCCATAGATGTGGGAGGATGGAAGCAGTGCGTACGCCTCCCAACACGACACAACAATATACTCGACTTAATCCTCTGTCACAAAATAGAGCCGATCTCGATAGAGGTGAGGGATAAACTCGACAACAGTGACCACAACATACTGTACTGCACCCTACCCTTACAACTAACAACTAAACACACACCTAAGAGTTCCCCGGTTTACTATCAATATAGGGACTATCGAAATGCCGACTGGGAATTCCTACCAACGCTCTTGAGAAGCTCAGACTGGGGTGAATACTTCACCAATAATAACTTAGAAGTAATACTAAATACCTTCTACAAGACAATCAGTTCGGTAAGAGACACAATCGCACCCCTGAAATCTGCCCTAAAGACACCAACTCTGTTCATAGATCGCAAAACGCGAATAAAACTAAGGAAACTAAAAAGGAGATTTTATTTATACAAAGAATTTAATGCATTACACCTGATACACGAAATATTTAAAAATTTAGATGAGAGACATAAAATGAAAGCACAAGTCGAGGAAAATAAAGCCCTAGAGGGCACCTCTAAAACCCAGGAACTCTGCAAAATCTTGCAAAAACGGATGAAGAAGGGTGAAGAAAACAATATCAGTCATTTAGAACACGAAGATATAATTTATGATGATCCCCAGATCATTAGTGAACTCCTGAGTGAGTGGTTCTCCAATAACACCAAAGCACATCCGTCCCCAATTCTCGACATAACCTGCAAAAATAACTACAAGTTAGGTGAAATAAACTTTAATATACAAAATATAGCATCGGCGGTAAGGACATTAAAAGCTAACAGTAGTTGTGGGATAGACGATATACCATCCGTCATATACAAAAACGGTGGTACGGATATGATTGTATTATTACTTAGAATATTTAATATCTCACTAGTGACCGAAACCTACCCTGAAACTTGGAAAAACACATATATATTACCTAAGCATAAAGGAGGGGCCAAAACTAGTGCATGTAATTATAGGCCTATCAATATAACACCAGTCATATCAAGGATCATGGAGAAAGTAATCAAAGACCAAATGTCAGACTACTTTCTAAAACATAAACTCATCAACCTGTCACAACACGGATTCCTCAAGAAAAGATCTTGCGTCACTTGCCATATAGACTTTTTCAACGAAGTCACCTATAGAAGAGATAGGAGAGAGCTAGTGATTATCCTCTATTTCGATATAAGGAAAGCCTTCGACAGAGTCCCACATAGTCTGTTAGTCGGTAGGCTATGCTCACTAGGGATACGCAACCCCCTCTACAATTGGATAAAATCATTTCTGTATGACAGGAATCAGACAACTAAAGTTGGCTCAATGACCTCCAGACCTAGACCAATCAGCAGTGGTGTCATCCAGGGGAGTGTATTGGGACCCCTTCTTTTCATTATATACATAAACAGTATATGTGAATGTTTTAGTATAGGCAAGCCAATACTGTATGCAGATGACTTGAAGGTGACATATACCTGCACAAATACAGATATCGGCCCAACTATGAACTCCATACATGAAGAATTAGCAAAAATGGATAGATGGTGTGACACGTGGAGACTTGAGTTTAATGTTGAAAAGTGTGGATGGCTCTGCATAGGCTGTTCCAACCTTGACCTCAACCTAGCAATTCAGGGCCACAAAATCCCCAGACTCAAATCTGTACTAGACCTAGGACTGAAATATTCACACAATCTATCATTTTCAGAGCATATCTCGAATCAAGTGTCGAAATCACGAAGGCTTATTGGTTTCCTACTCAGGAACTTCTACAGAAACGAGTCCAGAATACTACTGTACAAGGTATGTGTGCGCCCACTCCTAGATTACTGCTCATTCATATTCAGCAGTACACGCATAGAAGACAAACTGAAAGTAGAAGGAGTACAGAGGTACTTCACGCGAAAAGTACTCGGAACCGATAACGGCACAAACTACTCTACCAGATGTGAAATCCTGGGACTAGAAACATTATGGTTAAGGCGACTGCGACTAAATCTGTTACTCTTCTATAAGCTTCTTAACCAAATAGTGTATACCCCTGCTAACTATACTCGGTCCTCAGGTAACACAGGATACAACCTTAGGCACACTAAAGGTACAGTGGCTATAGAACCATGTAAAACAGCCACCAGGCAAAAGTTTTTCTTGATTAGGTATGCCCAAATATGGAACAAACTACCTGAGAAAATACGACTAGCAAGCACATTGGCCTCCTTTGAAAAGGCACTTAATGACACACTAAGTGAGTTTGTAATTGATACCAATGGTAATTCCCATGTAAGAGTTTCAGAAATCATAGGCCCATTTAATGTATGAACTCAGAGACTACACCTGTTGTTTGTTTTGTCTCTATTTATAATTCCAGACAAAAAAGCAGCAGTCATGACAATAACACCCATTCAACCAAGAGTCGATCAAACTATGTCTACCTGATACAAAGGGCGAACCATAATCAACATACGAATGAAATATGAGAAAACAAGGTAGAAACTTACCGCAACACCACATGAAAAGATAAAAGTTACTTGGATATCATTTATAATCCACCAACTGGTCTCCTACCCAAAAAGAATGCGGCGATGTTTTATCCAAAAAGGCGAGGAAATACATAAACCCACAGCAGCTGTTGTTAACACTCAGTGGGGGTAGGAGCCAACAAAGTAATCCTTTCAAAGCACATGTATACTTCAAATGGGCACGGAGACTTTGTAGAATACGTCATAATCCAAATCACTGCCTCTACAGCGCCAATAAACCTGGATATCTATGATATAACGAAAACATGCTGAAAGCTGCATCTCAGATCAAGTTGACTCATTCCATGGTAATGATCTCCTCCTGCGTGCCTTATTCGACATATTGAATGGAATGGTTCGCAGTTATTCTGGTACTAGATCGAAAAGAATAAAAAATTCACCGGTTGCTGAATCAAAAGTACTTCTCTGCATGTTTAACTGTATTCTAACTGCTATGATTAATTCCAAACCATTTATCCCATAATCACTCAAATTCCAGGAACGATCCAATTCTACCATTTAAAGAAGCTGGCGGACACGATGTAAATGAGTATTCATGATCTGAAATAAAGAAGCAACTGGTTTTCAACATTTTACTCAACTTACGAGTACAGTCCGCCATGCAGACACAAATGGAGCAAATGGAGAATTCTGGAATCGACCTCGGGACCATTTGATGCAGTAAAACAACTTAGCATGACTTTATCTAATTTTCGCCTCCACGATCAAATTTCTTTCCTGTTATGAAACTACGATAAGACTGCTGAAAAATGGAATAAATATATCACTGATCTCAACAGAATACATCAATAAACTTTAAGCCAAGGGTGCTGTTCACAACAAAGTTATATAGAATTGACTTCAAGCTTTATTTTTCCCAGATATCTGTATTACATTCATGTGATGTCTGGGTTTTTTGTTAATGCGAAGACAATATTTCTATATCTCTTTATGTGCTACACAAACAGACTTTATAGCAGACTGTTCCGACTGACTCTAATGTCAGAAAGAACAACCAAACTGTAAGTCCATTATACATCAAATTATGTGTAATTTATATAATAACTTATCCATGCCTGTACAATAGGTATGTTCCTGCATAAACAGGAAGGAATATATTATTATTATTAAAACAATATTTATGCATGCCTATACAATTGGTGTACCCTACATAGCTAGGGAAAAAAATGTACTTTATTATATTATCTTTACTAAATATGCTTATTAATATTATGTGTAAATTATCGAATTGATGATGCCTGTAAACTGGCGTCCCTCATGTAAAAAATGAGAATATATATTATTATTATTATTATTATTATTATTATTATTACTGCTAAGTTGAACAAAGGTTCTGTACAACTTGAACGTGAAGTAGAAATAAATGCAGATGCAGTTGCAGAAGGCACGCATACTTGTGAGACCGTCAGTGTGATTGATCAGCATGTAGCCCACCTATCATCAGATGCCAGTGCTAAGCCTGAGCTGATAGTAGAAGACACCAGTGTTGGTGGTCTTGCAGGTAGACAAATTTCTGAAAGCCGAGCAAAAACAGCTTTTGATCCACCGCTAACTTCATCAACTGGAGTCAATCGGTCGTCGTTGGTGCTGTCATCCACAATGAAACAGACGCCCATCAACTCCAGTATCTTCTGCAATGACTATGATAGTATTGGTGCGTTTGAAAAGACGAAATATATTGGTCAGTTTAGTGAGGATAAGCCAAGTGTAAACGAGAGAGTAATTGTTAAATTGACTTGCATGAATAAAGGCATTTCTAGTTTCAAGTTACTATTTGAATGCTATTATCTTTGCTGTAAATTACTCTGTTTCTACACTTGGTTGATGAGATATGTCGTGTATTTTTTCGCCATATATATTCTACGATGCAATGACATGGGCGTGTTACCGTTCAGATTTGAGGATATAGCTGATAGAAGGAAGTCAGCAAATGAACTCTGCAACGATTTTCCAACCTGAGAAGGGTTGTAGGCGTATTGCTGTAAGTCTTACAATTTCTTCAAAGGGTAGCGCATCAATGAGCAGTCCACTGTGCCTGGTGTGTGATTTTGTACATATGTTCATATTGTATATACTGAATTGGTATCATTTATCATCTAGCTTTTGGTAATTCTGTTTGTGTCCGGACATTCCACAAATTACAATCGTCAACCTGAGAAGGGTTGTAGGCGTATTGGTGTAAGTCCTGCAATTCTTCAAAGGAATTCCACTAAGACATGATCAGCGACGTTATGTGTACTGTTTGTATATATGTGTAGTTTGTCATATCAATTGGTGGTGTTTTGGATTCATTGTGTTTACTCGTTGTTTTCGTACCTTGTTTTTATTGCATAATTTTGTTAAAATTTTCGTCGTGATTACTTCTGAAGTTGTTTCGAGTCTTCTACATCCATGAATGAATTGATTGATGTTAGAGTCAGCAGATGGGTCGTATACGCCGGGGAGGCTAGGCTATTGCTGAGAATGAAATGCATACGGAGATAAGACAAAAACGCCAGCAACCATGTAACTTGACCATAAACCAAATTTATGAAATTTATATAATGCTTATCCATGCCTGTATATTGGTGAGTCCTACACAAGTAGGAAAAAATGTGTATTTTATTAAAACATTATTATTAATTATGATTGCTAATCGTATATGTAATTTATCATATTGATGATGCCTGTAAACTGGCGTCTCTCATGTACAAATTGAGAATATACTATTATTATTATTATTATTATAATTGTTAGCTGTGGTCCTACACGCCGGGGAGAAAGAGTGTAAACGGCTGAGGCTTGCATGCGTCACCGCTACTAGAACTGAAGCGGAATGAGTGACAAGCGATCGCAGTGGTAATTGGTAGTGAGTAGATAAGAGGATGTGCGTAGAGTATCATGAGGTGGTGCTATGGTCACGTTGCATTCTGCAAGAGTCATTCTAGCAAGTGGAGATTTTGTTGCAAAATTTCATGCGTATACTTTTGACTGGAAGGCGCAGGTCGTCAGCGATGTGTGAGATTGTGCTGTGAGTATGCTTGTGGTGTGTTGGCTTTTCTGTTTGTTTTCCATTTCAGCTCTGTCCGTGTGACCCAGGTTCTCGCAATGGCATCCAAGTCAACGTGCATTGGTCGTGATGGATAAAAGGGATTGGATCCCTTTTTGTCGGGGAGTGTCAATGGAGTTGAAGATTGAACGATCAATTCATGGTTGTTTGCTCAAAACCAACTTCCCCAATTTTCGTGGAGGCATCAATACGACAGTCATCGTCTCATCGGTCGCTGTTCAGAAAGAAGTCAGGAGACAACTGTCAGAAGTAATATTGTGATATATTACTGTAATATTTGTTCACAGACCTTAGTCATACGTCATTTATATATTGGTGTTACAATAAAGAATTCTCAAGCGTCCAATCGGTGTTTTGGTGTTTTCGTCCGTTATAACTAAGCGTCTCTGAAAACTTCAAGCGACAGCGTGAGCCCGAGCGTAGCAAGAGCAGCGAATTAACTGTTTACGAGAAGTGGCTGACAGGCTCGGAGGAATGCAAGGGAAGATTATCTAGCTTATAGTAAAAGATAAGGTTTAGCTTAAGGCGTCCTTTCCAGAGGGGTTCTAATCTTAGTCTTTCGCATCGCTCATGGTATTCCAGACCACTTTCTAAACCAAGAGTTCTTGGGTAAACTGCCGTTGCACTCCCTCTAATTTAAGCTTGTCATTTTGTCTGAGTCCGCTAAAAATAAACGGGCAGCATTCTAAGATAGGTGTAAGCCAAGTCTCATAAACCGTTAATGCCTAGCTCTTGCTACGCTCAGGCCCACGCTCTCGCTTGAAGTTTTCAGAGACGCTTAGTTATAACGGACGAAAACACCAAAACATCGATCGGACGCTTGAGAATTCTTTATTGTAACACCAATATATAAATGACGTATGACTAAGGTCTGTGAACAAATATTACAGTAATATATCACAATATTACTTCTGACAGTTGTCTCCTGACTTCTTTCTGAACAGCGACCGATGAGACGATGACTGTCGTATTGATGCCTCCACGAAAATTGGGGAAGTTGGTTTTGAGCAAACAACCATGAATTGATCGTTCAATCTTCAACTCCATTGACACTCCCCGACAAAAAGGGATCCAATCCCTTTTATCCATCACGACCAATGCACGTTGACTTGGATGCCATTGCGAGAACCTGGGTCACACGGACAGAGCTGAAATGGAAAACAAACAGAAAAGCCAACACACCACAAGCATACTCACAGCACAATCTCACACATCGCTGACGACCTGCGCCTTCCAGTCAAAAGTATACGCATGAAATTTTGCAACAAAATCTCCACTTGCTAGAATGACTCTTGCAGAATGCAACGTGACCATAGCACCACCTCATGATACTCTACGCACATCCTCTTATCTACTCACTACCAATTACCACTGCGATCGCTTGTCACTCATTCCGCTTCAGTTCTAGTAGCGGTGACGCATGCAAGCCTCAGTCGTTTACACTCTTTCTCCCCGGCGTGTAGGACCACAGCTAACAATTATCTCCGTATGCATTTCATTCTCAGCAATAGCCTAGCCTCCCCGGCGTATACGACCCATCTGCTGACTCTAACATCAATCAATTCATTCATGGATGTAGAAGACTCGAAACAACTTCAGAAGTAATCACGACGAAAATTTTAACAAAATTATGCAATAAAAACAAGGTACGAAAACAACGAGTAAACACAATGAATCCAAAACACCACCAATTGATATGACAAACTACACATATATACAAACAGTACACATAACGTCGCTGATCATGTCTTAGTGGAATTCCTTTGAAGAATTGCAGGACTTACACCAATACGCCTACAACCCTTCTCAGGTTGACGATTGTAATTTGTGGAATGTCCGGACACAAACAGAATTACCAAAAGCTAGATGATAAATGATACCAATTCAGTATATACAATATGAACATATGTACAAAATCACACACCAGGCACAGTGGACTGCTCATTGATGCGCTACCCTTTGAAGAAATTGTAAGACTTACAGCAATACGCCTACAACCCTTCTCAGGTTGGAAAATCGTTGCAGAGTTCATTTGCTGACTTCCTTCTATCAGCTATATCCTCAAATCTGAACGGTAACACGCCCATGTCATTGCATCGTAGAATATATATGGCGAAAAAATACACGACATATCTCATCAACCAAGTGTAGAAACAGAGTAATTTACAGCAAAGATAATAGCATTCAAATAGTAACTTGAAACTAGAAATGCCTTTATTCATGCAAGTCAATTTAACAATTACTCTCTCGTTTACACTTGGCTTATCCTCACTAAACTGACCAATATATTTCGTCTTTTCAAACGCACCAATACTATCATAGTCATTGCAGAAGATACTGGAGTTGATGGGCGTCTGTTTCATTGTGGATGACAGCACCAACGACGACCGATTGACTCCAGTTGATGAAGTTAGCGGTGGATCAAAAGCTGTTTTTGCTCGGCTTTCAGAAATTTGTCTACCTGCAAGACCACCAACACTGGTGTCTTCTACTATCAGCTCAGGCTTAGCACTGGCATCTGATGATAGGTGGGCTACATGCTGATCAATCACACTGACGGTC